CATATATATATATATACATATTTATATTTATATATACATATTTATATTTATAAAAAAACATGCATGAATATTAAGAAGTAGAACAAATCAACATTTTAGTATTCTATGAACAATTTAAAATTGATTGTGGTGTGTGTGTGTGTAGGCGCATCACTGATTTGTTGACTCCTCCCTCTTTTTGTGACAGGCATTTATGTATCTTGCTGCTAGTAATCTCTTTTTTCCCCTAATAAATATTGAAGTTGTGTTTTATTGTTTAACATTTTAAAGTCAGGGCAAAGTATTTCAAATTTTGGACAAAATTTCTTTATAATTTCTTCTTGCTCTATCTTCACTTCTCCATGGGTACAGTATGGGCAGATGCGGCTTTGGGTAGCCAGTTCTGTCGATATCTCCCAGTCTCTATAGTCAGAGTATGATTGCTCAGTCTGTACCTTGTCATTTGTCTTCTTAATTTATAATCTTTCACTATACTCATCATGTTACATCTCTTTCTTTCTCTAGATTCCGGGTGACAAAGTGTGACCCCAAATCGGCCCGGGATAGGCGGACGTTGTTGATCACTGAGCCCAATAGCAGTGTTCCCCCATCACCTGCTAACGCTGACCCCCCTGAACGCATCACAGGCCCAAAGTCACAGGTGACTGGCTTTAGTGTGGAAGAAAACTCTCATTCCTAATGCAGGTTAAGCAAACTCTCCAAAGAGTTTATCAAGGGTTATTTTTTTTCCTCGTTTTGTGTGTTGTTTGTCTTTAGGATAAAGGAGGCAGTGCAAAGTGACATCTGTAGAGTTCCAGCAGCTTCTCAGGTGACATTTTAAAAAGATTTTAATCTGGAAGTCACACTTCCAAAGAGGACTAAAGAGAGGGAGAACGCCTCAAACTGTGATGAGAGATGTGATAATGAAGGAGGAAAAGAGGATGATGGATGCGAACCCTCCTTTCTGTCATGTGACACGTCAGTTGTGGAAAGGCAGCAGAAGCCATTTTATATAAATTAACCTGTCACCATGCCAACCCACCTTTCTTAAACACACTTGTGTCATTATCAGTGGCGGATGGTGTCATTTGTGGCTATGAGCGTGTCAATGTTTAATCCAAGCTGGCGTTGTGGTCGAAGATCTTCGCCATGTGCCTCTTTGGGCTACTTCCAGGAAGTGGGAAGTATTGTTCAGGGTTGTTTTTTTTTTTTTTAAATGTTTTTTTTTTTTAATTTATTATTTTTTTTTCATTGCAAGCTGTGATAAACAGAAAAACAGAGCCATGAAATTTCTCACTGGTTACAATCCAGACTAAACGTTTTCCTTAACCTGTTGCCATCTTAAATGGACTGGGCTTGATCTCTTCACTATATACACCTTTTCACCTTTTTTTAATAAATTAAATTGTCTTTTGATAAAATTTTTCTGTAAACCAGTGAAATTGCATATTTAATAGATTAATTTATCAACCTAGCACACCTTAACCGACTGGAAGTTTGCCTGGTGATGTCTGGTCTGGGACAGAGCGCTGCGATTCAATTCACCAGTCTGCCGAACACTCAACAGTTTCGAAATGTTAAACATTCTGTTTCATGATTCTGTATAGATTGCATGTGTCCACAGAGTTCAGAGGCTCTATCAAGTCTATAGCTCATTTAGTGATATAATGTCAAGCGTATACAAATAGATAAGACTATATCCTTCACTATACTTAATATTATTGTTATCCTTGAAAAAAAAAAACAATCTATGGTACCACAAAAAAGGTAAAAGTGTCTTTGCTTTAGTGCCACACATAGGCAAAAAGGACCAAAATATAGGACTTTTAATAATCCGGAGTATTTTAACCAAAACTCCAATAAATATAAAGACTTTTTAAAATGTATTTTGCCTTTAATTAACATTGTCATTATTGTGCCACTGATTTTGTTTTGCCTTTTTTTTTTGCTCAAACACCATACAGGTAGACTTCAAAATATCTATAGGCTTTCTAGCTCATTGCACATGAGCTTGAAGTGCTGGAACGAATAGTTTAAATAAATGTTGCTCATATACTTCCTGTTCAAATTTTAGTTAAAGGTATTCATACACTCTAAAAAATGCTGGGTTGTTTCAACCCAACTTTGGGTCAAATATGGACTAACCCAACTTTTGGTATTTGACCCAAAGTTGGGTTGAAACAACCCAGCATTTTTTAGAGTGTACTGAAATGATACTAACCTTACTTATTTTAATGTGTCACTTCAAGTACTGTAACTTCTGAAATCGACAAGAATTAAAGAAACATGAAGATGTGTAAACAGAAGAATTATTTAAAGAAAATGAGTGAGAATGTGCTGTTATATTTTACTGAAGGTTTTGTACCCACACTCTAAAAAATGCTGGGTTGTCTCAACCCAATTTTGGGTCAAATATGGACTAACCCAACTGTTGGGTTAAATTTTGGTTACATTTTTAAATTAACTTTTTAACCCAACAGTTGGGTTAGTCCATATTTGACCCAAAATTGGGTTGAAACAACCCAGGATTTTTTAGAGTGCATTATTTATACATTAAAAGGTTAAACACACCTTGGACTGGTTGTTTTGATTCTGCTGTACCCACAAGCTACGACCACGACACACTTTCCCACACCGTGTACTTGCACATTTGCTACACTGAATGCTCTGAGGTCAGTGTAGCTCAAAGATAATGACTTTAAGAAACTTTAACTTCTCTATGTCCTTCCAACGTTCTCAGCACGACAAACTCTCAGAGCCTTCATTCATAGTGAGGCGCAAGAGGTTCTTGGATCTGTAATATGTTTTCTAGAGCTGGACTGTGGCTAAAGATCAGTAAGAGTCTGTTAATAGGTGACTGGTGCAGCACTAATGACCTTCAGGTCTGTAGCTTTTCCAAAACTCAAAACGCTGAAGGCCTATCTTTCCCATCTCTCCGTGACTGCTGCCTACTTACTCATGGCCTACTGGAAAGTATGTGACCTTGTGCATTATATACATTTTTTTTTTGTGCGAGTCGAGGACTATTTTTGTACTTTATGCATCAGGATATTTCTAGGAAGAAGGAATCATTAAGCAACAAGAATGTGCAGTAACTATGAGTCTGGAGCTTATAAATGGTTAACGCTGTGGAGTATTATTAGTCTGCATATGTTTTTGGATTTGTGAATCATTAACTCAAGCCCACACAGACTTTAAAGAGATGTAAATGCTCAGCCACTCAGCAGATTTATTCAGGTCGTTTCATGTTGTCTATGCTGTATGTAGAAACAGCTGGACCTTTGGTGTTGATCATTTGTGTTTGGCTATAAAGGAAACTGAATTCAGGTTTTTAGTTATTGCACAAATGGTGTATTTAACTTGTAATACTTGATATCGTTTCTATTTTTCTATACTGGCTATAATTTATATAGTCTCAGGGATTTTTAAGAAATCAATATTTTTATTCAGCAAGGGTGCACTGAATTGATCAAAAGCGATGCTAAATATATTTAGTGTTACAAAACGGAATTTAATTTAATTTCAAATAAATGCTGTTCTTTTGAACTTTCTGTTCATCAAAAAGATTGCATGACGATGTCCACACAAAGGTTTGTTCAACTGTTTTCAACATTGATAAGAAATGTTTCTTGAGCATCAAATCGGCATTATTCAAATGATTTCGGAAGGATTGTGCGACTATTCTGAAGACTAGAATAATGGCTTCGTTATCACAGGAATAAAATACATTTTGAAGTATATTAAAATAGAAAATAATTATTTTGAATAATTTCACAATATCTCTGTTGTATTTGATCAAATAATTGCAACATTGTTGCATATTAGCGACTTCTTTCAAAAGAATTGTAAAAATCTTAACAACCCTAAACCTTTGAACCGCAGTGTATAATTTAATTTTTGAGACACTTGTAAAACCCTCTTGTAAATAAAAATCATTATTTGGAATTTTAATAACCACATTTGCATTTTTGGCTTCTATTGTCTATGACTAAACAACACAAGTCCGGGCTCTATAAACGCCAGATACCCAAATGATATGACTTGCTCTTACTCGTCAAACCAGATCCGATTCTCTTTTATCCAAAACACTGGTATCAGTATGGCCTCTTGTACTGTTAAAAGCAACCTTTACTTTAAGCGATCAAAGCATCAATTTAACTAAGATTGAATACAAATTTGACAAGCAAATCATTAAAGAAATGTTTTTGCTGTATCAAAACAACTGACTACGAAAGAGAAAAGACAAAAAGACGGAGTTTGAAACGGACTACAGAACTACAGGACAAAAATCTTTTGAAACAGTTCATAATACAAGCCATTTAATGGTTGCATATGATGTTATACCCAGTCAAATGTGGCTTATTTTCACCCTCACACTCATTAAAAGTATCATCATAATATAAAATGGTGCATAACATCTGTATCTTAATCATGTATTTTGTCGTGAGACATTTGCAGAATTGTACAAACATCAAAATTCCCAATATCTGATCTCTCTGGGTTTCAGCACAATATAGAAGT